CACCTGTGTATTACCTTTGAAAATTCTCATTTTTTATTTTAGTTTCGTCAGGTAGCTTAATCTGCCTCCTACGTTTGTAACCTTTCTGCCACGTGGAGCCAGCAGCAGGGGTGGTTCTTCATCCATCCAACACAGAACTGGCTTGAGCACTCACCCAGAAATGTGGAAAATTCCGCACTGCCCCTGGGTGCATCTGAGCAGCAATGCTTCTCCACTCACAAGCAGAGTCTGAGCATAGAAAATAAATTTTAAATAAAAGGGAGGGAAATAACACATTAATTTGGAAAGACACCACAAGCAGAGTTCGTAAACAAAACCATGAGTAAAAGTCCCACCCCAGGTAGAGTGGGCAATATCCTTTTCACCTCAGGTTCTTATGTCCTGCAATCTGATTGTCCCCTTCACATGCCGAACCCTTCTCTGCACCCCGCTATTGCTGCCCTTGGTCAGAGCAGACCCAGGGTTCAGAGGTGCATTTGCAGAGTTCACCTCCCATCTTGAGCTGGGGGATGGAGCTCTTGATGATGCATGTTTAGTTCTGTTTGTTGAACAGTGTGGGAGAACAGATCAGACCAGTCCAGGCCAAGGAGGCTGTGCAGTTTCCTGAGCAGAATAACCTTCCCTCACTGCCTCTCTCTCATTGAGCTCTGAAAGTCGAGTCCCTGCATTTAATACAAACATAGTTGGTGTTGGGTCACAAATTAAATTCATTACAATGAGCAAAATACCACTCCATTAGTGAATATCTAACCAATCTAAGCAAACCAGGAGCAAACTGTATTTCCATAAACATACCCAGAGTTTCTTTCCCATTCCAGCTAGCTGGAATAGAAGTGTTCCTTCTGATCCTGCTGTGACACACTGCTACACCAGAGATTGCTTCATCAAAGCCAAGTTATGCAATACCATTTGAAATGAAGAGTTTTACCATGTGTTTTATAAGTAAAAGAGCTGGCTGCAAAAAACAAGGGTCCCCCTCACCCATGGTACCACTACAGAGTGGAATAAATACAATATTATGAAACATTATACACAATGTTTTTTTCTGGTTATGGCAGAATTCTTACTAGGTATTTTAGAATGTTACCATTAAATGTTACTGCAGCCCAAAATATTGAGCATATTTCATGTTCTCAGATGAACAATGCTTTTACAAAACAAAGTGCCTTCTATGCATGAGTAAAGTACTTTTCCAAAATTATTGAATGGGGGAAGAAAATATCATTTAGAGTGAATTTTGCTGAACTTCAGAGGTTCCTTTACAAAGAGGACACGCAAAAAGCTTCTGCAAACTCTACACTTGGTTGAACAGGGCTTCATGACAGTTCTGTGCAGTCTAGTGTGGAGGGAGAGCCTGCCGGCTGCTCTGGGAAAAGAGGAAGGGGTTGCGGGAGTTTGCAGTTATGAGGATCCTATGGCTTTGGGAGGGATGCAAAATGTTTTGCAGTTCAGAAGCTATTCCAATCTAAATACTAGTAGCAGCGATGAAGGGACTGTGGGATTTCTGTATGCATTGTTTAAGGACTGAAGGTGAATTCCATTTCTCCCCATTCCTGCATAGTTGCTCAGCACCTAGTCATGTCCTTGGGCTCTGTGCAGCAGTGAACAAAGAGAATCATTTTTTCTACAAATGGTGTGTCCTCTATGAAAGATGTGGTTGCGCGCTAATCTGACCTTTAAAGGGTTCTAAGAAGCTTACTCACTAATGTATATTGCCATTATTCCCTTTTTGAGGGTTATTGCAAATGCATCCAACGTATAAACTAAATTTAACTTAAACAAAGACTGCCCTAGAATCTAAAATGATACTAAATTGGTTCAGTTTCCACTGATGAGCAGTGAAATGTTAGGAAATCATGTAGGTTTATTAAGGAAGGGGGGGAAAAAAACTCAACCTGGGATGAGGATTGTCTCTAACGAAGCCAACATTAGTTTTGCCATTGACTTAATTGTGGCCAGGATTTCACCCTCAATTATATGTGATACAAAAATACGTTTTTATATGTAAAGAATTGTGTATTCTTGCATTTGTGAGAGAGTTAACTGTGTCCTTGATAAAAGAAGTCTGAAATTGAATAATGCCTAAAATACTGCTGCTTCCTTCTCCATGCTGTCTAATATGAACATCTAGAGTAAAACATTTTAACCATTTTACAGCATATCCAAGTTTGACGAGCGATGTTGTTTTCTTTATGTCCATGACAACTCTGATGACTTTCAAATCTACTTTTCCACAGAGGACCAGTGTAGTAGGTGAGTTCATTTTATCACTAATAAAACTTATATGGTATGTGACTGACAAGGGCATTGGAGCCTCCCCAAAAGTGTGGGGAGGTTGGGGACCCAACCTCTCCTCTTCCTCCAGAAACCCTGGCCCCAGTCAAGCTGGAAGCTGGAGTCCTGAGGCCCCTTGTCCAGGGCAGGTGGAGGGACCCAAGCTTCCCACAGCTACCTGTGCAGCTCTCGCCAGCTCAGCTCTGGCAAGAGATTGGGACTCAGAGCTGCAGCCTGGCCATGCTCAGAGCCATGAGGGCAGCTCTGGAGAGCTGCAGTGGACTAGCCTTCATTGTGGACAGGCCCCACTGAGAGCAGCTCCTAGACCATGTCCCCTCTCACTCTTCCCTCCAGGCCAGAGCCATTGGAGTTATAATGATGAGCTGCCACGGAGTTGGAGACCCTCTATCTCCCTGGGGCTCAGCAGGGACACAAGCCAGGGGCTGCTTTTGGCTCCCTGCCTTGTGGGCAAGTGGAGGGGCCGACACGACATCCAGGCTCCTCAATCAGGCTCCATGACTGCCTGGCTGGAGGGTGGGGCCTCAGGGGGAAGAGGAGAGCAAGGGGCGTGGCTGTCTGCCGGCGGAGGTTACTGGTGGGAACTGTCAACTGGTTGACTATTAAGCATACCAGTAAGCTTAATGGTTAACCCTTTTACCATCCCTAAAATGAAGGAAACATATTACAGTTTGTTAGTAAATGTATTGCTTTGTGCTTGGATTAAGAAATTCTAGCTGATCTTTTTCATAGAGAGCATTTGCTGATTGTGTGATGCCTGTCACTTGCAGGTTCTGTGGTTTGGTTAAGGAGATTTTGACTGATGGTGTGGGTAGTGCTTTGGAATTAGAAGGAGAGATTGACGGGGACACACTGGAAGTAAGTCATGTTTGTGGATAAAATACCTGAAAACCTTAAACCATTTTTCTCCTCTCGTATGAATTTGTTTAAGAAACAAGGATCAGGAAGTAACATTTAAATTCTTGAAAATTCATAGAAAATGAATTGCAACACTCCTGTAATTCATTATATAGAACAACTAACATTCTTGTGGAAAAAACTACAGGTTTTCATGTAACATGGTGAGCCAGCTACTATAGTGGATGGAGCCACAAAAATACACAAGAGTATAAGTTATTGATATTGAAAATTATTGCACACGTGATGATAATTGGTTGCTATACACCAAAGGTCGCAAAATATTCAGGTTGTGTCCAGTCCCAAAAGCCCAAACGCTTATCCCAGGTCACATTGTACCTTAGCTTTATCACCAAAAACAATGCTTGTAGCCAATATAATAACTAATGAAAGATTTATCAACTACAAAATAGAAGTGAGAGTTATTATATGATTAAAGCAGGCAAACATTTATACACAAATGAGTTAGTGTTTAGTTTTAAAAAGTGACAGAGTTGTAGTAATATGTCAGCTCTGAATGTCTTTTAGGAGTTGACCCTAGAGATCTTTGCTTCTGTTTCATAACTTCAGTGTTATGAGAGTCCAAACAACCAAAGAAAGATGAAACATTTTCATGTCAATTATTTTTATTTATTTTTTCTCAAATTCAAGATGATGGGACAAGCCCTTTTGCACTTAGCCTCTTCATGGGTGTGAAGGGGCAGCTAACAAAGTCTTTGTATTGTGATGTCCCTCATTTAGGTTCAGGAGCCTTCATGATGGCTGGGAGACAATCCCTCTTGTCTGGGTTCACAGTTTCAGAGCAAACATTTTCTACAGTCATAAATCAAAAGCTTAAATATTAACTTATAGCATGTGATAAAGATATTATAACTGAGATTATTGCATGCAACACCTTACAAACATTTCATAGAGTCTGAATACTAAATACATTGTTACAAGTTCAGTGCCCATCTGAACACCCAGATGAAACTGACTGGTTTCTGAAAATAAATTTGTCAGTGCACAGCTGAGACCTAAAGCCTTGGCAAGAATTTGTACCCAGTCTGCCAACATTTCAGCGACAGCATGAAAAATGCTGAGTGACATATTCTTGATGGACTTGAAGAGCATGTAGAGATTGGAAAGCCTTACCTGGTAACCATAGATGATATTAATGTGAAAAGAAACTTTGGAAAGAAAAAGAAAACTTAGTGTGAATGTTCAGACCTGATGTTGCAGTTTTCAGTCAAAATTCTTGAGATTACCAGGGTTGTCTAGGTGAAGAACTGCATGAAGGGGTGATGGTAACATTTTAAAATGATAGTGACTTGGAGTAAGAGCTACTCTTAACCAGGATTTAGATTTAGAACTAGAGCCAATTTTGGATTCTTTGAACCAAGTGGTATTTACTTGTATAGCCTTTTATGCATGTCTGGACATTCCTCAAAATCTGAGGAAGTGTTTATCTGTTCAAGAGTTGTTATTGAATCCCAAATCCCATTGGCTGGGGAACATCAGACTGCCTTGACCAAAGTCTTAGGAGGAATGCCTGCTTGTTCATAACAGCAGTTGAATCACGCACCAAGGAGGCTCTGTAGTTGATCATGTGTGCAGATTTTCTCCTGCGGCAAATTAGTATGGACTTACTGTACACCTAAAGAAAACAGAAACAGGACATACCATATTGCATCTGGTACACAGTCTAACAAACCTACTGTACACCTCTTAATGGAATTCACATGTCCTGAGAAACATGTCAGGGAACATGGACTCCTTCTCTAGGCTGAGAATTAGTTTAGGATTAATCTATGCAGAGCTGCATCCCAACTTCAGACTGTGCCATGCAGCTGATGTCATCTTTATGAACAGTGTAGCATTCCATAGCTGTGAAACCTGGGTATGCTACTGCTGAAGAACTCAATAAGTTTTACATGTAACACTTCAATCAGTTGTTCATGTCACATTATCGGAAAATGCTATGAATTTGGAAGAACTGAAACATTGGAAATGAAACTACATTAAGGCTTTGTTAATTCAAGTACAAATCATAGAATCATAGAACACTAGAACTGAAAGGGACCTCGAGAGGTCATCGAGTCCAGTCACCTGCCCTCACGGCAGGATCAAGCACAGTCTAGATCATCCCAGATAGATATCTGTATAACCTGCTCGTAGATATCTCCAGAAATGGAGATTCTACTACCTCCGTAGGCAGTTTATTCCACCACCCTGAAGTAGGATATTTTGTTAGGGTTAAATAACAATAGAATATTTCAGTATGTGTTCTGTACAGTAATGATATAAAGATGGTATAAATGAACAGAGATAATTTTGAAGACAATTTGTAACAGCAGTGATCTAACGGTGCATGCTTGAAGAAGGCAGATCTCAACGTTGCAGTCGATATTGCAGCATGACATAGGCATATTTAACATAGCAGACTGTAAAGCTTACGCACTGCTTTGTAAAAAAAAAGATTTATTAGTTCATGCAAAAGCTTTTAAAATGTACTATGCTAATTCTGTGTTCTCAAATTTGTATATGAATCAAAAGCACACTGTTTAGCCCATCTCTCAAGTCCCAACAGAGGTTCTTTGGTGTGAGTAAATGTACTTTTGTCTGGAGGGATCTTTGCAATGGGAGTTCTCTACAGTGAGGTCACAATAGAGAACCAGAACTTCAAATAGTGTAAATCAATGTAGCATCATTGAAGTCAATTAGCTGCACCTATTTATACTAGTTGAGGATATGATCCACCATGCTCCAACAGAAATGTATACAGCTACTTAGTTTTGTATTTTTAATTTTCTTTTAGAAGGCCAGCATATTTTTCCTCTTTTAAAAAACCCTCATAATGAGGAGAAAATGTTGAAAATGAATTAGCTACAGCTGAGCTATGAAATAAGTATAGTATTTTTTAAAACAAGACATAGGCATTATAATGAGATTTTTTTTGTTCCTACTACTACATGTAGATTTCAAAATACTTGGTGATTTTCCTCTTGTTTTTGTTTACTCTGAATAATCCTTTATAAATTCTTCCTTTGTTGATCTCTTTACGGATACCATCTCCACACCTTCTTGTCACTGAATTTTTGGGCCCAATCCTGCATTCTTCATTCAGGAAAAATTTTTGTTGAGTAAAGTATATTTAGCAATTATGTATCTAAACACCTATTAGAAAGACTACATTTTATAAAGCAAATAATAAAGGACCGGTGAGGTTTTTAAAAATTATGTACGAGCGGGTTAGACCAATATATAATCATTCTGATTAAATCTTATTTGCAATCTAGAAAGTGGTTTCTATTGTCATTATTTGTGTACCCTTATGCATACCTTTCTGCTTTCAGTATGAATATGACTATGAAGAGAATGGTGATCGAGTAATACTAGGGAAAGGTACTTATGGAATAGTTTATGCTGGACGGGATCTTAGCAATCAAGTCCGAATAGCCATCAAGGAAATTCCTGAAAGAGACAGCAGGTGAGTCTTAACATAATAATAAACCTGCATCACCAATGAAAAAAGCAGTAGGTTGCTTATAAGACTTTTCTCCTTCTAAAATGTATGTGTATATATAATAGATTGCAGTATAATATTCCAATACATGATAATTGAATTAGTTTATTTATAGCTTTAATCATTCTGTTTAGGGCAAGTTCAATGTCTTCCTCTTTTTCCAGTACTACCAAACCACACCAAAAGTATATGCTAATTTGATAAAATCTTTTATGAGGATCAGGATTTTTTTAGTTGTTTGAATAAAGAATCAAACATTATTTCTTGTGGGAAGCTTTTCTTGTACTCCATTTTTTTTGAACAGCCAACCAGTCATGCTGCATTTTGAATTTAGTGACAGAAAGTTTTCTAGGGACTTGGATGAGACCTGTAGACTCATTTTATTTAAACTAAGAATTAAAACTAGGTCTCCAAAGATGTTAATCCAATATATTTGCATGCATCTTCACCTGGTCCTCAACTTACTTCTTCTTGATAGATATTCTCAGCCACTGCACGAAGAGATAGCGCTGCATAAATATCTAAAGCACCGGAACATTGTCCAGTACCTTGGTTCTGTTTCTGAAGACGGGTACATTAAGATCTTTATGGAACAGGTCCCAGGAGGTTTGTATCATTCTGGGCTGGGATTTTTAAAGGCGCCTAAGGAATCCAACTCCCAGGAATAGTCAATAGAAGTGGGGCACTTAATTGCCTTAGGAGCTTCACTAAATCTCAGCATTTACATGTTGCTATGCTCTACCTGACTTTCCTGTTGAGAAGTTAATTGCAACTGTCATTCTTCTGTTTATAAACAAGTTTTCTGTGTGTAAACAATATATATGAAATGGTACAGTTGTCAAGATCCTATTAAATCCCTTTTTATAATAATTATACATTCACAAACTGTATTAAAAGAACATTAATAAAGTCTTGCACTCAGAAATTAAGAAATGCCAGACATCGAAAAAGTGATGCACTTTTGCAAAAGAGAGCATCCAGACTGCCTGGATGCTCTTTTGCAAGTAAGCAGATATTGCTATGGACAGAATGGCCACCAGGGCACCTGTGCTTTTTCCTGTTCCCTCTTATTGTGCAAAGAACTCCTCTTCCCTGTCCACACACGCCTCAAAAAAGTGTTCTTCCTTGTGGAATGAGGATTACCAATTTTTCAAAAACCCCTCTGATCTTTCGATTTACTTGCACGAAAACGTGCTTGAGGCATGGACGCGCTGCAAGTTTTTGCAGAAAAACAGCCATTTTTCCACAAAAAACTCTGTAGTGTAGACATAGCCTTAATGAACAGTTGTTCAGTATTTGTTTTATACTCACTATTAAATGCGTGGCTGCAGGCCTAATTTAATACACATTATTGCTCAGAAGAGAATTATTAATTTCATCTTGGGCTTTTCAGTGGTACTCATAACCATCTGGAGATATAAATGTAAATAAATTTGTTCTCACAATAAGGTAGTATGATTATACCCATATTACAGTTGAGAACCCACTGGCATAGAGTTATTAAGGTAAAAATTGTCAACTAATGCTGGCTGCCCAATTTGATACAAGTGGGATCTGATTTTTCAGAATGCTTTGCATTAGTTGGCATTTTATATATTCAAAGCGCAGCTCCTATTGACATCAGTTGCTACTATGAGTGCTTGGCATTTTGGAAAAACAGAATCTCAGGTATCAAATAGAGCACTTAAAAATGAGGAAAAACCCAGATAATGATCATTCATCAAAGTGTGAGTTAAATGTCTTGCCTAGCACCACACAAAGAACCCTGCAGCCCAGGCAGGGATAGAGTCCAGTTCTCTGAAGCATCATTCCACTACCTTAGCCACAAGACCATCCTTTCCTCTTTCTGCCATCTCCTGCCTCGTTAACTATACACCTTCCAAATTTTGAAATAAATGAGACATGATCCTATAGACCACAGTTTCTTTGATTGTACATCCTTGTTTCGCCCCCACAACAGGTCCAGTCTGTGCCCTATTTGAGGCAGGGATCTTGGGGCCAAATTATGTCCTCAGATAATTAAAGACTATTATAAATGCATACACACAAGGGAGGCACCTTAATTCTGGCATTTCTTATCTTTTGTGTGCTTAATAATGCAGTTTTTAACATTTTCTTTCTGGGTGTGCTATTACTTAAACTTAAAAAACAGAAATTCCATCTCTGGTTTCATACTGATACCCCATTATTATGGTTGTAATCTTTACATCCATCACATAGTCCTCTGCTAATTGAGCTAACAGAGTAAGTGATAGGACTAGTAGGTTGTTATGTTCTCTGTGGACCAGCACTAATGGGGTGTGAGAGACACATTTTGTCTGAGCCTAGCATGGCCAAAAGAAGCTCAGAGTGACATCTGCAAGGGAAGTTCATCTCTCAGTCCTGGACTGGAGCATTCCCAGTGCATTTGTAATATTGTGGGATTTAAACCAATAGATTAACCAAATTCTTTACTGAGCATGCATGACTTGCCGTTTTTGTTTTCCAAAGACTTATAAATTGGTGTCAAATTTAGATTAGATTTTTCAGACAGGTGGCTAAAAGTACATGTCTGACACCTTTACCACCGCATGCCAAATTTAAAGTACCTGCTCCAAAAAAGTGGGGAAGGGGCACAATTGCTCTAAAAAAATTGCCAGAAATTTTAAACATGAGCAAAACAGCATAACTTCACCAACCTCCATTTTCTTAAAAGGCTGAACTGTTTTACTGATTTTTTTTTTTATTCAGCTTGAAGCAGACACCCAGCATAGTAAATTCAGCCCGAATGGTTACAATTTAGCAAAAAGCTGTGAGCAATCAAAACCAGGGTCTTCTAATGGGAAGAGGGGTAGTGGAGTCAAAAGACCTAACTAGCTTCATGGCTGAGCTTGAAAATTTACGGAGGGGTGGGTATGGTATGATGAGACTGCCTGCAATGGCACGTAGCTGATCTGTGACTGCTAGTGGCAAATAACTCCAGGGGATGCTGATGGGACAGTAGATCTGGAGAGCTCTGAGTTACTGCAGAGAATTCTTTCCCAGGTGTCTGGCTGATGGGTCTTGCCTTTGTGGTTGGGGATGGGAAAGAATTTGCCCTCGAGTCAGACTGGCAGGGATACAGGGTGGGAGTCGCCTTTCTCTGCAGCATGGAGCAAGTTCATTAGCAGGTTCAAACAAATGTAAATGGTGGATTCTTTGTAGCTTGATTTGAGGACTTCCGTAATTCATACAGAGTTTATGGGTCTATTATAGGAGTAGGTGGGTGAGGTTCTGTGGCCTGTGATGTACGGGAGGTCAGACTACATGATATGATCTCAGTAACAGGCACTCTTTATAAGTGTGGGATTAGCCCGTCTCTTTCTTATAATTAATGCTTCATTTAATGCTTCATTTAAGTGGAGAGTACATATCAATATATTTTGAGGGTAAAAATCTTTGCTTGTAGTTCAGCAAAGCAGCTATTAAAAAGCAGGAAATTAAAAGTTAAACTTCCAAGACTCAGACTCAAGGATAATTCAGAGGGTATTTTAAAAATACATGAGAGGCATGAGATGATAATCGTGTCTCAATTGTTCTCTCTTTAGAGCCCCACTCAGAGGTGTCAACTACATGGGTGCTTCCCCTGTCCCCAGCGCCCTCCCAGCGCCTTCCTGCCCATTGGTGGGCCCTGTCAATCAGCTCCTCCCACCACCTCCCTCCCACCCCAGTCAAATGTTCAGTGGCATGCAGGAGGCAGTCAGGGAGAGGAGGAGTATGCTCCGGGGGTGGGGAGCACAGACAAATTGAGACGAGGCAGAATGGAGTGAGACTAGGAAGAGATATGGTGAGGTTTGGAGGAAGGACTGGAGTGGGGGATCTGAGGTGCAGTGAGGCCAAGCACTTTGGAGAAATGAGGAAGCTGGTGCCTGTCTCTCATTGTCTCCTGGCCATTCTAGGGTTACCAACTTTCTAATTGCAGAAAATCAAACATACTTATCCTGCCCTGAGCTCCTGCTCCCAGTTCACTCCATTCCCCCTCCTTCTGTTGCTTCTCTTCCCCCACCTTCACTTGCTCATTTTCATTGCCTTGGGGTAGGCTCTGGGATGGGTCTGAGGATGAGGAGTTTGGAATGTAGGGAGGCAGCTCTGGCTTGGAGTAGGGGTTTGGTTGCAGAATGGAGTGTGGGGTACAGGTTCTGGGAGGGATTTTGGCTGCAGGAGGGAGTTCCGAGTTGGGGTGTGGGAAAGGGCTTCGGGTGCAGACTCCCAACAGCACGGACTTCAAGCAGCTTCCAGGAAGCAGCAACACGTTCCTCTAGCTCCTAGGTGGAGAGGCAGCTAGGGTGCTCCACACAGCTCCTGTCTGCTTGCGATGCCCTCGCAGCTCCCATTGGCCAAGGTTCCCAACCAATGGGAGCTGTGGAACCAACACTCCAGGCATCACCTATGAGTGGGGACAGAGCATGTAGCTCCCCTGGCCACCCCTCTACGTAGGAGCCAGAAGGACACGTTGTTACACTCCAGGCATCACCTATGAGTGGGGGCAGAGCGTGTAGCTCCCCTGGCCACCCCTCTATGTAGGAGCCAGAAGGACACGTTGTCGTTTCCTGGGAGCTGTGTAAAGCCAGTCATGGAATCTGTCTGTCTGCCTTACTGGTGCTGCCGCCAACAGGACTTCTAATGGCCTGGTGAAAGCTGTGCTGTCTGGAACCACCAGGGTCCCTTTTTGGCTGGACATTCCAGTTGGAAACTGGACCTCTGGCAACCATATTGCCAAGATTGCCACCCTAACATTGGCACATGCTTGTGCTAAATTCATTCCAACATTTCCAACCACTTTCCTGCCCCTGGGCAGTACCAGTTGGTGTTGTTTACCTGATGCTTTATTCTGTTTATGCATTCCTCCTCCCGTATATGTTGTTATAGTACTTTCTGAACAGCTGTGGGAGAAAGGGTGTGGCTGAACTAACTCTTATATTTCCTCACCACCAGCTAGCCTTAAAGGGACAACTATTTAAATCATGTTTACACTGGTAAGTTACAGTGCAGCAAATCAGCTCCTAGGGCTGTAACTCACGAGGTGTCCACCCTGGCAAGGCATTTAGTGAGCACAAACCCCACAGTTGCTGTGCTCTAGAAAAACCATCTTGATAAGAGGTGCTGAGGTGTTGAGCTTTTTGCACTGGGGCTACAGTGCTGGGATGCCAGTATAAACACTTCAGTTGCTTTCTGCAGAGTAACAGGCCTCCGGAAGTGTCCCATAATCCCTCAAGTGGCCACTCTGGTCATTTTTTTTAAAACTGTTGTCTGTCCTGGAGACGTGCATATCCCCTTTCAAAGCTCAGTTGCTAACAGGCTGCATGCTGTCTGGGACACAGAGCAAACCATTCAGGTGAAATGCTCATGCTGTTCAACACAGAGGCAGGCATGTGCGTGTGTGAGAGAGAGGTTACTGTGCAGAAAGCTTGGGAAGGAGGTGGGGGGGGGTGATGTTGGTGTTTCCCTCTCCCCCTGCCCCAGGATTGGTTGCTTCTGCCTGAATTTACAAGTCAGCATGCTGACGCCTGCACTGTCCCACCATACACTCCTTCCCCTCCTCCCCCCGTCACACATTTTCCCTCCCTCCCCCTGCACTTTAGATGAAAAGCAGCCGTGAATGTAATTCAGTGGGGCTGGGAATCAATGGAATTTGGAAACCTGCATCATGTGACATTACCTGCCCCATGCAGCATTATAAACACTTCCCAGAGCACCCTGTGGCAAGTTGAACTGTGGGGTAGCTACCACAATGCACTGCTCTCTGCACTGTTGCAAGAGCTACTAATGTGGGTGCGCTCCACCATCACAAGGAGTACAGTGTGAACATGCAACAACAATTTAATTCCAGTGCTTCAATAAAACAGGCATAACTTGCTGCATAGAAACTTGCCAGTGTAAATAAGGCCTACAGTTTAGTTCTGTCAGGAAACTTCCAGCTTAGAAAGCTATAGGCATGGACTGAAATCTCCCTCAACTAAGTTTTCTAGAACTTAAATAGACCCCATTGTAAATTCTGTGCCTACTTGTCATAAGCAGAAAATGTTGCAGGAAATGCTTCTGTGTGGGCAGTGAACCTGCCCTGTTTAAGGAGATTAAATCTGGTTCACCGTCTCCACAAAGTAGGAAAAATAACAGTAACCCATCTTCCAATCTGTGTGCATGATGTCTCCAGTCTCTAGTTTCTTTCTGGAACATTCTTTCCTCTACCTCCAGCTATTCCTGGCAGTCATATCCATATTAACAAATTGAAGGGGGAAAGCTTTTAGATTGCTTAGCTGTCAGAAGAGATTACCTTCTCTTAACATAGCTATAGTTTGCTTTATTTAATGTGACATACAATGACATTCGCCCAAGTCCATGCTGCTTTTCATTAAGTGCCTATTGAATGTGGCTGACCCTAACGTGCACACCTATGATTCTAAAGAGGAGTAAAATTAATCCAGTGCTTGTGTGCAGCTTCCTCACATCATGGCTTAAAACCTGAGTTATGCATTAGATGCTTCCCACCCTCTCATTCAAATAGATGGTGGAAACAAGTAGGGAATGAATAGAGAGAGCCTTTGCTCTGCCATTCCTCTGATGTGGCAGCCAGTGGAGCTGAGCTGACAGAGGAGGAAAATACCTGCATTCAGTCAAGGCTTCAATAAATCACTTCTGGCCTGAAGGAAGTGGGCTCATCCTGGGGTTGCACCCCACCACTGTGCTCAGGACATTGACCTGAAGTTCAGTCTAGCTCTAAATTTATTATTAGTGACCTTCAAAAGTTGACTTTGTAACACTGCAATCTTGACATGTTTTCCTCTTTATCTAACCCAGGAAGTCTCTCTGCTCTTCTAAGATCAAAATGGGGCCCAATGAAAGAACCTACAATAAAATTTTACACCAAGCAGATTCTGGAAGGCCTTAAATATCTCCATGAAAACCTGATTGTACACAGAGACATAAAGGTGAATTTCTCCAAGTGTTGTATTTTGTACAGTAGTGATAAGGGGATTAATTTCAGCACCTCTTGCAAGATTGTTACATTGATTATAAACAGTCGTACTTTTAGCGGGAAGGAGCCTTTTAAAAAAAACAAAACAAAACACCACTGCCCATGGAAGTTTCCTTTGTAAAAAGTGTTTGTATCGTTCTTGCTGGAATCTTGTTGCCAGCGTGTTGGAATATATTCCAACAATCTGTCTCTTTCTTTTCTCCAGGGAGATAATGTTCTGGTGAACACATATAGTGGAGTAGTAAAAATTTCTGATTTTGGCACTTCCAAGCGGCTCGCAGGGATCAATCCATGTACTGAGACATTTGCAGGTAAGAGGAATTGAACACATTTCTTAAGTTTCCCCTTTGGTGATGGTGGTTCGATGCTCTAGTTAGCATTCTTATTTAGGGTTTAGTTTTGAATTCCTCACAGACCCAAAGTTCCTGGGGAAGCCACCGAGAGCTTTGGGTCTGCAAAGAAAGAATCAGACAGCTTCTGCTTTGAAGAAAACAGAAAGTAAGTTGGTGCAGGTTACATGTAAGGATTGGCTTTTTTCTTTTTCTAAGAATCCTATTTGAACCTTCTAATTTAAAACCCAGACCAAAAATGTCTTTGGAAAGTTTTATTGCAAAATCTTGAACTCCTGTACCTCACAAAATACCACAGACTGGAACATAAGGTTTGGTGATAGCTTAATTTTGGCTGACAAAGCTTTCAAAACTTTATTGTGGTTGGATCATCAATAAGATGTTTTCCCTATAGTCAATTAGCATGGTGTGTGTTTAAATCATAAAATAGGGTTGTGCCAATAATCAATACTTGAAATGTAAGCTGCAGTTGAGCCTACATAATTTTATGTATGTCGTCCTTTGTAAGAAAGCTGGAGGAATTACATAATTGCTGCCAGAGTGTGATGATGGAAAAACTTTTTTTTATCACTCTGAATACACCCTTGAGAAGCTAGAAACCGTCTTTTGTCTCCCCACCCTGTATGGCCAATCACCATGTCTATATAACTTTTTCCAAACTTGAAAATATTGCTGCTGTTCTGCCAGTAGATAACCTGTACTGTGATTTTTAGGAAACAGATGATAGCTCTAGGGATGTGAAAATATATTATCCTTCCAGTTTTTTGCTCTTCTGACAGAGCAAAGAATTGAGTAATTACATAAGCATATTTTCCTTTTCCTGTCTATAGCTTCATTGTTACACAGCAAGTTTTCCTTCCCCCTTGACTTTGCAAGCTTTTATTTCCTTTATTGTGTAAGAGTTCTTCTTGATTTTATGCAAATAAGTATCTGGCTAAAAACAACCAGCCTTGTATTTTCAAACAATGTGATCTCTTTTTTTACAGACCATGACAAACAATGGGTCAGTCAGTTGGTCTGTTTTGTAATTAACTTCTCAAACTAAAGTATTCAACATAAAGACTCATGTTTCATTTATTTGATATTAAAACATAGTTTAGGGAACTATACATTCATGAATTACCAAATGAATAAGAAGGAATTTTAACTAAAATTTACTAGTTTTAGATAAATATCTCCATAGATTTAATGTTTTTCATTAAAGACCAGTACTGTTTCATGTAAATATTGAAGTACTTGAAAGAAAAGTTGTAATCACTTTAGATATTACAGTTGTATTCAGTATCTTTGTGGACTGTATGGCATTAAGTTTATGAATGGCCTATGTATCACTGGCTTCAGGGAGTAGCCAAGTTAGTCTGTACAGGATAAACTTAAAAAACAACAAATGGTCTGGTAGCACTTTATAGACTAACAAAACATGTAAATGGTACCATGAGCTTTTGTGGGCCAGAGACTGAGGAGGAGCCAAAACAGTGAAGGGTGATTAAAGTAATCACTTAGGTTGTAAACACCTCTGGAGAGATATCACCCCCAGCGAGGCTGACATATATTGACTCAGAATGAGTTTTCCAGATGTCAACAGACTAAGAAAAGCCTTTTGATATAAAAAAGGCTGAGCTGTCTTTATATTTATTCAGCAAATGGACAGGACCATCTCCCCAACCCTTGTGAAAGTCCTGGAATGATTTTGACTTACTAGGGTCCGTTAAGTCTGAGGGTTGATCACTAGTGAGTTTTAACATGTGTTAAGGAACTTTGTTGAGTTTTATCTATTTTCTCTGTAATGCTTTTACCTTAAGGATAAATGTATTTTGCTTTTATAGGCCGGGAATGAATAACTTATAGACATTGTTGTAATCCCTGGAGAAAAGTAATTGACAGGTGCTGGACCTTAGTCAGACGTGCTGAGGAAATCCCAATGGAGTTCAGAGGGACTGCAAGCCTAACCCAGTGGTCTCAATGGAGAGAAATCTGGCTCTGTGCCCAAGAAAGGTGATAGCTAGAAGTGTGAAACCTTAAAAATTGATAAATTAAATAGTAATAAATCACCAGGACCAGACAGTATTCACCCAAGAATTCTGATGGATCTCAAATATGAACTTGCAAGAACTAAAAACTGTGGAATGTAACCTATCACTTAAATCAGCTTCTGTACCAGATGACTGAGAGATAGTTAATACAATGCCAATTTTTAAAAAAAGGATCCAGAAGCAATTACAGGCTGGTAACTTCAGTAGCAGGAAAATTACTTGAAACTTCCATAAAGAACAGAGTTATCAGAAACTTCAATGAACACAGTGTGTTGGGGGAAGATTCAACACAGCTTTTGTAAAGAAAAATTATGCTTCACTGATCTATTAGAATTCTTAATGAGAGTGAGCAAACATGGACAACAGTGATCCGGTGAATATAGTGGAGCCTCAGCAAAGTCTCTTAAGTAAAGTAAACTATCATGGGATAAGAGGGAAGGCCTTCTCATGGATCAGTAACTAGTTAAAAAGCAAGAAACCAAAGGTAGGAATAAATAGTCATTTTTCACAATGAAGAGAAGTAAATGGTGGTGTTCCAGAGGAATTGTATGGGGACTATGCTATTCAATATATTCATAAATGATTTGGAGAAAGGGAAAACAGTAAGTTGGCAAAATTTGCAGAGGATACAAAATAACTCACTTAAGTCCAAAGCGAACTGCAAAGTTATGAAGGGATGGCAGCCAAATAGCAGATGAAATTCAATGTTAAATGCAGAGTAAGGCACACTGGAAAACATAATCCTTGTTTAGAGCTTCAGTTCATAGCAAATATCCTCCAAAAGTGAGAAGCAGGATTGAAGACAGAATTGAGGCTCTCCGAGGGCTTTTTATATCCTCAACCATATGAAGGGAATGCCATTGTGTTTGCTGTGGAAAACTACAGCTACAAGATGGAGTTTCACATGAGCAAGTCACCTGTTAATGTATGACTCGGTTCTTTACAGGTAGAAGCCATTGCTCCCAGACAGTCTGAACAGTTACAGGGAAGCTCATCAGATGTGGATTGGCACCTCCCAAGACCCATTGTCAGTCAAGTACTTCTACTTATCTTGAATAGTTGAGATGCTGGCCAAACCTCTTGTTAGTGTCGTCCTGAAATACAAATATAGAGCCAGTACTCGTAACTTCACATACAAAAATGATACACACATGTGAAGGGCATAAACATTAACATATGTAACATAACACATATGAATGGCATAAACATAATCAGATGCTTTTTAAAGGCACTTCACCTGCCCCACTTACATGATTTGTTGCAAACATATAGTAGTAGTTGCAAAAGTAATCTACATGTTCATATCACAATCCAAAAACATCACACTCCCAATGCAAAATTGATGCAGGAAAAGTGCAACAAATACCACTTGCTGCATCCCAGGGACTCCCGTTCTTGGTTCTGTAGTTCTGTCTGTTCTAATTCAATATTAGAAATATCAGTGTATAACTGGAATGGTTTATGAAAACCATGTTTGTCTAAAACAGGCTTCATTGTAAGGTTCACTATGGAAACAACAATATCATCGAATCCTTTTACATCCTCATTTTGTTTCCTGTTGTGGAGTCTCCAACCATCTCAACATGTTCATTTTACTCATTTCGTTTCTTGTGGCTGGCCAAGATAATGCTTCATTATGTTAGATCAAATTATAGTTTTATACACTCTACCTTTCATTAGCATCTTTTTGTCAGGAGAACTGGAATCTGCTTCCACCATTTGTATCCACCCAACTTAGGTACAATACTAGTCTTCACTTCGGGGCCACCCACTGTCAGCAACCATTGATCCTAGGAATTTAAATACTTCTGTCATTTATAGGCTTGGTCTTACCAGTATTTTCTTTATATGCAGTCTATCCAAAACTATGTTTTCCCTGTTAAAAGTTGGCTTGCAAGGGCTCACCTTCTTCCAAGGTGGCACCCTACATGTCTTCTCACTCACTGCATTTATGACAATCACAAATAATGTTCAGTGCTGATCCATGGTGCAGGCCAATGCTAATTCGAAGTTCTTGACTGTATCCCCATTTAATTTTGACTGTGATAGACACTCCATCATATATTTTCTTGATTAAAGTAATGTATTCTTCTGTCACATCTTTCCATTGCAAACTCCACCAATCTAGTTCTCTTGGAACATTACTCTAAGCCCTCTCTGGTCCATAAAGACTGTTAATTAGTTGCCATCTCTCTTTTCAATGCTTTTCTTTCCCAGCACAAGTCCATATTGAGCATTCCAAATTTCAGCCATTTCACACACAAGCTTTTCATTAATCCTTTCCTATAATTTTCATTAATCCTTTCCTATAACTTTCATGGTGATCTATCTCTGATTAGTATTAAAAAAGCAATAGATTTGAGACTGGTGTTCTTCACTGGTGTAAGTTAACTGATAGCTTTCCCTCTGCTGAAAGTGTGTGTTTGTGATCATCAAACCCAATACCAGAGAAGTCTATAGGAACCCCTTCAGAGTTTCTGGTTTCAATGTCATGCCCTCCATGGACTCCTTCATGTCCAGTCTTCTCATTTCCAGTGCGTGTATATAAATCTGTTCCCATACTGATCTTCTTGTTGGGTAGCATGTTTTCAGTAAAGCATAACTTCTCAAAAAACGTTTTATCTTTGATCCTCTCCTAACTGTTGGTGCATACCAACTTACTATCCAGATAGGTCAATCCAACATTCTGGTAACCTCAGTCACAGGCCTCTGCTTGGTTTCATCAAGAATAACTCCAATAGGAGATTGAACTCCCTAGGTAGTAGATTTTGTGATTCCTCACTACTTTCTGTAGCTTCTCTGTTTGGTCTTTTGCACACCTGCTGGATTTATATGTCTCCTCTTTAAGATCTCATATAGCTCCAAACTTATGCCAGTTAATATTCCTACCCCAACTTCCACATTTGTTTACTCACTGACTTCTTTAAC